GATTCAGCATGAACTGAAAGCCTTTCAGTATGAGGCTTGCACAGAGGATGTGGGCCTAGGAAGAAGTGCTCCTAGGCAATGGAAAATGTGAATACGTGGGTTTGAGACATGAATTACAATGAGGTGCTTGAATCTCCCCTTGCTTTTTGTAGCAAGGGCAATGTCTGGCAATGCCACAGCATCTAACAACCACACATTGTCTCCCTTTGAACTGCACAGCTTTCAGGGTAGCCAGGCTTCACCCTCACCCTGCTCCTCAAACAAACAAGAGACTGTGAGAGAAATGTCACCGGGACTCAGATTCCTCCTAAAAGGTGCCCAGATGGTCTGACATCATCCCAGATGTCTCTGAGGCAGCTCTTTGACCCAAGAAAGGGCTGAAGGCTCTCGGCTCTCCCATGGGAGTGTGTCTCTTCCCATGCTTTGCTCCACTAGTGTTTAAGCAAAGTGAAGTCCATCAGAGCTACCCCCAAGGGCAAGGTACAGAGGAACTGGAGTGGAGCTGAGGGAGTTCTCTTCCTGCTGTTGCTGGGGTTTGTGCAGCCTTGAATCATCTTGGCTGTGATGCAGGGCCCTTAGAAAGCAAGAACCAGAAGAGCAGAAGTTGTGTTGCATGTCCAGGTATTGGTGTGGAGGTGACAATGCAGACCAGAGTGGTGGCTGGCAGCTGGCTTGTCTCTGTACTTGTAGGCTTGAGAAGACACTGAACGTTGGTCATCTAGAAAGTGAGAGCCCATCTTCAGCTTCTCAGCACAGACATAAGCTGTGATCATTCCCTGGCAGCCATGGTCACCCCTCCTGTCCCCAACCGTAGACCATGACTGTGCTGCCTCAGGTTTGGGGAATGGTATTTTGTAGTCCTGGAGGTGGCTGTTCCAAGCACTGGGTTCCTGCTGTGCTGACAGCTCGCTCACCAGCACAGTTTCTCAACTCAAATGCACTGGAGTGGCAATTCAGTCTCCACCTTTCAGCTCAAATTCACCCTTGCCAATTTTAGGGGAAACAGAGGAGTTTTCCTCCACTGCATTATCCTGTGTTAAATCCTCATTCAGAACTTGCCTCTGATGGCTACAAACCATTCCCAGCTAGCAAAATTTGATGTTTTTCTCAGCTGTTCTGTATTGCTACTTCCTGCCCTTCTCTCCATTCATCCTTTTCCCACCTTCCATGCAGAAATGCATTTATCCAGGCAAACACCTTGGGAGAAGTGTTTTACCTTACCTGGCACAAGGGCGCTGGATCCTTAAACTGATTTTCCTCAGGGCGAGTGGCTTAGATCTGTGCCCAGTTTATCCCCAGCATAAACCAGTGTCATGCACACCCATGGAGGAACCATCTGGCCCTCACCAGGGAAGAAGTAGTTAATGTTCTGCCTCGCAGGAGAGCGTCTTTGGCCCCAGTTCCAGTGCAATGACTCACTGGGGCCAGGCGGGAGTGGAAGTTGCAAAGACCCCATCGGCAGCAGAGCAGCTTGGGAATCCCACGGCAGCCTCAGCCCTTGGCTCCTCGGAGCCAGGAGAACTTCCAGCTGTGGCCATACAAGGCCAAGAACGAGAAACCTGCTGTCCTGTCCTGAAGCTGCTGCCAGGCCCTCTCTGCACGAAGAGCTTTGCAGGTCCTTGCCTGGGGGCTGGTGGAGACTGGAGGAGCCCTGGGCAGCAGGAGCGCTGGGTCATAACTTCATACTTAAGGATTTCAAGCAGTGCACTCTTACCAAGATATTCTCCTTATTTAAAGTCACTGTTGCCTGCCAGCTCCTGAATCATATCCAGCGCTCCAGAGGGAAGCCACGTCCCTCTCTAGCAGCCCATTTATGGGTGAGGATAGTGGTAGCAAAGTGTGTGTTGCCACCTTGTGAGGACTGAAGTCTTTAGTATAAACCTGGAGCTCCTTATGGGCTGGGGGGAGAGATGGAAACACACAGGATGAGCCAGGCAATTCGGAGCACTCTGAGAGAGATAGAGACCCAGTTCAGTTCCTTTTGGCTCCAGTAAGATCAGGATTGGGCAGTTATTAGGACTTGAGGTGAGTCCTACCTTCTCTATAGCTGAGCTACTCAGCCTCTTGGAGGCAGTGCTGGGGGACAGGCACTTCCAGACAGTGACTCAGCTCATCCTAAACACTATCCAAAACAGATGGGATGGATTACTCTCTGGAGGTGTCTTCCCCTGCCTAGGGAGGAATTAGATGCAATGCCCAGCTTTCTGATGACTGAGTTGGGAAAGCTGAATCCCACCCTTTATTTTTACTGGGGATGAGGTAAAAGCTACAGGAGAACGAACCATATGGCCTCCCTCATTCTGTTTGCTTTGGATAAAAACCATATACACACACACACTTGTACATATGTTTGTGTGTATATAACACAAACTCAAAGGGTGTTTTTATTGAAGTTCAAGGCAAGCATGTGATGGAGATGCCAGAATCCAGGCTGGCTGTGCGTGTGCATTAAAATACGATGGAACCTTCTCCTGGGAAAAACTGGCTCAAATTCCATGGAAATTACTGAACTGTGACAAAAAATAAGAGACAACAAGGAAAGACAGAATGAAAGGAGAGGGAGATGGTCCCAGCCCCACATTTTGCCCCTGTATGTGGGAGTGAGGAAGTGCTGCATTTTCGGCTGCAATTCCCTCCTGCCCCCTTCTGCTGTTCCAGCTTGCATGGTATGTGCATCAAACTGTTGTTTCACCTTTTCTTTTCCTTTTCTTTTGGCTGAACACAGGCAAGAATGTTAAAAGGGATTTCTGAGCACACTGGAGGTGAGATGCAACAAGGCCAAAGCAAGATTATTTCTCCTCTTGCCTTGTTCTCAGAAACAACAGAGCTGTTTGGGCCCAGTAAATCCCTCTGAGAAAAGTGCGGTTTGACAGAGTTGCAGCAAACTTAAAAGAGCTCTTTTTGTAATGGGAAAGGTCAAATGATGTTAATTATAATCAGAGCTATAATATGGATGATGAGATTCGGGGAGTTTCCCTCCAGATCTCACTGCTTCTAGGCACCTTTGTTTCTCTCCCTTGCCAGCTGCAGGGGGGAATGGAAGGGGAATGTTGCACTTAGGGAGCTGTTGTGGTCTCATTGTTTCTTGCCTTAACATCCTTCCCCAAATCTGAACGTTTGAGGGTCTCTCTGAAGGGTGATGTCATGTATTATGTGATGCACTTTTACAATACAAAGGCTATTGTAAAAGAGGAGATGACAGAGCATAAACCCTTCCCTTCTTCCTTCAAATAACTGCTCTTTAGTTCATCTTAGCAAGTTCTCTTTGGACTGTTAGAATGCAGAGACAGCCTTTTGTGTTTGGGGCAGGCAGTCACCTTCTTGAAGGTTTATTCAGTTCATATCTGTCGTGGTCTAACCCCAGCTGGCAACTAGGCACCACAACATCATGATGTGAACCTGGTGGGGTTCTCTGCTTTGCTTTGAAAGAGCTTCTTCCACCAGCACTTGGTTTAGTATTCTTAGCTATGAAACATCCATAAACTACATGGTACTGAGACGTGGAGCAATGTTCCAGCTAAGCAAATGGAGGGATGAATCCTGAAATCCCTACAGAGGAAAATGGTTTATACAGAGGACAGAAACAGACAGGGAGGGACTCCAGAACTGGCTCCAAAATGTTTGAAGCTATGGGAAATGTTCCCCTTCACTTCAGATGGCCTGGAAGCCAAGTCACCAGCTGGGAGGATGAGAGATTCCACTGTGGTGGGTAATTTGTTTGCAGTTGCATCATCAGCTTCGATGCAGAATCCAGAGGGATATTGATGACACAGCCTGAGCAGCCCTTTGAGCTCCTTTCCTGACTGTCTTTACACAGCAACATCAGGCCTAGAAATATGTGATTTCCAGCACTGCTGATTGCCTTTTGTATTTTTTTCTGGACAAGCCCTTCACGTATTTCCCTCACAGGCATGAGAGAAACCTTTAAATGCTGCTGAGTCCACCATATTATTTCCTTGGAATTTGAAAGGATTAATGGTGGCCAAGAAGGGGCAGAGCCAAGAAGCTGCTGATCCCTCTACTTACAGATATTGCGTCATATTCCTCCCATGAATTTTGCATCCAAATATAGGGTATATTTGCATGGACAGGGGGCTTTGGGCATCTTCTTTCAGTTGGTTTTACTAAGCTGAAGTTTGTCTCTGTATGAACACAGCTGCACGGCTGCTAAATCAAAGTGGGTCACACTGGGGAGAACTGGACACATCTGCATTCTTCCTGTTGGCTTCTCCTTGGTGATCTGTCTTTCCCATCACCTAGGAACCTTAACCTCTCACTATGAACTTGTCTTGCTACCAGGTCTCCTCACTACCTATAGTTATATAGGATTATAAACAGTGCAACAATATAATGTTGGCATATTGATGAAAACCAACACGCCTGGGACAAAATTGACCCATCTGCACTGACTAGTCAGGGCTTATTTTTATATTCTATTAAGTTGAACATATTAGCTTAAACATCTGTTAAATGCTGGAACTATTAGTTGGAGTATGTATATACCAATCGATATCTTAATTGTGAACAGAGCATGTGCAGCCTTGACATATTTAGAGGCATTTCAACTTATAAGTAACCTTTCTGACTATATGCCACTTAGAGATTTACTGCAAGTCTAGAGGACTTTAGAAGAACTCCATGAGGTTTTTGGTATTGAACAACATTATTCAGTATCCCTTAGTTCAGAGTGTGGTTCTTGCAGTCACTGGGAGTTTTTATCCCAATTTTCATACATGATTTTCAAGCTTAGTTAAGTCCAAACATGTGTCTTGCAGCTTTGCAAGGTCTTTAGGGTTAGAGTTATTCTTTTGTCTTATATTTGCGTAGTACCTGGCACCACAGATATCAGGCCTTGCGATGGGAAAGGTCATCCCAAGTTTCTTCGTGAGCCAAACTGACAGTGTAGAAATACCTGTAAGATCAATAAATGTCTTAAGAATTAAATTCTTGCCAATTAAAGCAGTGTCAGTTGTGCCTACTGGTGTCTTTTCTCTTTCTAGACCAAAGAAGCTCTCTTCACAATTCTCCAGGACCTGAGGCCTGAAGACCACTTCAATATCATTGGCTTCTCCAACCGAATAAAGGTCTGGCAGCAAGACCGGCTGGTGCCAGTTACCCCAAATAACATAAGAGATGCCAAAAAGTACATTCATAACATGTCACCTACTGGAGGTAGGATCCAGAGATACAAATGAGATTAATTTTGATATCCAATTGACTACAGAATGGAGAGTGGTGAATGGTTGTGAAGCAATAAAAACACATTGGGACTTAGGTGATTAACAGTGGAGCCCCCTCCCCACCTGCACTGGGGGTTATGTGACAGGAAGATATGTGCCCTTTTATCAGTGTACATGATGAGAAGGTCTCCCCAGATCCAGTCGTATTGCCTGCTACACTTATTCAAGCTAAGTTGGGCCCATTCTCCCATTTATCTGAAGGATGGGAAATTCCCAAGTTTGTTTCTTGAGGACACAGGAAAAAACATATCCTGGTGAAGGACGCACAAGGCCAGTACTTGTGCAGTTTCTGAGAGCCTGTGTAAAAGCAGGCATGTGCTTTTGTCTGGGCTTGAAATTCCAGTGATGGACTGCCCAATGTGGGCTGTGGGGCTGCCTTCTGCAAGAGCTAGTTTGTCAGCTATTGCTGTCATCTTTTCTCTACCAAGGGACAGCCAGAATGACATTTAAGAATTTCTTGTCCCTTTTTGTGTGTGCAACATTGCCAGGAAGGAAGAAGGGAGAGGAGGAGACCCCAGAACAGTGGCACTGGCATGATTTTGCATTTGATTCAGTGGTCTCCTATGGAGCTACGCACACTAGCATAAAAAGCTCCAACCACATAGTGAGGTTTGTAATCAGACATAATCTGGCAGCTGTGCCCATCCTAGCTTAGCACTCCCCACATAAGCTGAAAGCTGCAAATCCTTCCCCTTGAAAAAGTCAGCTGGTTGAGGGTCAAGTGAGGCCTTTCCATGACTGACCCTGAGCACTGACCACTCCTAGCAAAGGAAACTCTTTGATGGAAAAACACAGCAAACAGGATGGTTTGCCATAATGTTTGCATCGTCAGAGGAAGAGTTTAGGAAGTGGTCAAGGGACCTGCCCAGTGAAACAATTACCAATAGTGGGATTGAACTCAGACTACAAAGCTTTTTACTCCTGAAGTACCAAAAGAGCTACACAGGAACCAGCTGAGTTTGCCCATGAACGTGCCAGAGAACAAAAGTAAAAGGAAATGATTAACTCGGGTTCAACAGGAAGGTGCAGTGATTCTTCACCACAGGCCAGCAGTACTTCAGTTTTGGCTAATGCTGCATTTTTATCAGTCACATACTGGTTTGGGCTGAAAGGGACCTTAAAGCTCCTCCAGTTCCAACCCCCTGCCACGGGCAGGGACACCTTCCACTAGAGCAGGTTGCTCCAAGCCCCTGTGTCCAACCTGGCCTTGAACACTGCCAGGGATGGGCCAGCCACAGCTCCTCTGGGCACCCTGTGCCAGCACCTCAGCACCCTCACAGGGAAGAGCCTTTGCCTAAGGTCTATCTTTTTCCTAATATCTAAATATTAAGAAAAAATCAAATTATTTTCCCTATAAAGATGTTGTTTCTTGAGTATCTTCCAGTGAGTATGAATGCACTCAGGCTACACACAAAGAACGTGCTGTGCTCATGCTGCTGTGTTCATGCTGCTGTTATACACCATAGAAATGGGAAGAAGATACTGCTGCTAATCATTTGTGCATGTGACAAAAGGCAGTTTTCAGTGCTTGGTAACCTTGTGATGTGGCTGGGTTTAAAATGACACAATCTGCTGCATGGAATGGTTTTCTTTTGTTTCTGGGGAAAAGAAACACTGAAACTTTGGATCTGGATGGAGACTGAGGGAGTATTGGGATATTTAGATGCAGGGTTTTGGTTCAAACCCATTTTGCATAAAAACGCAGTCTAGATTTTGAGGGCTTTCCAGAAGTTTTAGCCCTTTTCCTGTTCCTTGCCTTGCTGCCGTCACTGGACCTGTGCACACTAAGTACGTGATGCATGGTTAGAGCTTGCTCATAGCCTCTCTAGATCTCCCTTTCTGGACCCCCAGGAGTCTGGTGTGTATGGCTCTTAACCTATTTCATCTGCTTTCTTCCTGAGGGCTATTTTTAACCCACATGTACTGATCTTGCAAAGTTTCCACAACCAATCTCTCTTTGCTTTGAGCAGCACAAGAAATACATAGAGCGAGGAGAAACCTGTACTCGTTTTCCTTCTTTCTTTTCTCTGATCACACAGTAGGCTTGGATCCTTTCCATGGCTTTTCTTCTAACATACATCTGTCCCCTCGTTTATTTTCTATGTTTTTCCCTCTCCCCCACTTCAGGCAGCTCAATTCTTCCCTAGCCAGTTGTTTTGGGAAAACACACTCCTCAGCTAATAAAGCCATTTCTCTTTCCTTTAAACTTTCTTAGCCCTAGGGTTCAAAGAACAAACCCACCCATTTGTTTCCCCATTTGAAGGCTTTCTACCTTTCTCCAAATCTTGTGGCCTTCAGACAAAGTGAGCAGAACTTGTTTTCCTGGTTCAGATATCAGCTTGGAGAGTCCCGTAATTAAATCTAACTCTTCTTGTATGTACAGGCAGCACATGGTATGTGCTGTGATTCCTCTCACCACAGCTGATTATTGTACATTGAGGCACTCAAGGATACAGCAATTTCACATAATAAACCACAATTCATAAGACAATATATAGCTAAACCAAACTGGTCCTGAGAACAGAACTGAATAAAAGGGTTAGTGCAACCTCGTGTAGGCAAAAAAGGAACATCCTGATGAAGAGAGATGCTGTCATTGTATTAAAGGGAGCTTAGGGAAATTATTTGTACCATTCTTAGAAGGAGAAATGAGCTCATCATTTTGTACCTTCCCAGGGACTAATATTAATGGTGCTCTCCAGACTGGTGCAAAGCTGCTAAATGATTACATTGCTCAGAATGACATTGATGCCAGGAGCGTCTCTCTGATCATCTTCCTCACGGATGGGAGGCCCACTGTTGGGGAAACACAGTCATTAAAAATCCTCAGCAACACCAAGGATGCCATCCGTGACAAATTCTGCCTCTTCACCATTGGCATTGGCAATGATGTGGACCACAAGCTGCTGGAGAGGATGGCACTGGAGAACTGCGGCATGACGAGGCATTTCCAGGAGGATGAGGATGCAGCCAGCCACCTCAAAGGGTTTGTTCTGCTTTTTTCTGTGCTTATATCTGCATTGGGAACTGTGGGCATGTGTTTGGGAAGGAAGATCCTCTAAGGAGACATCGCAAGAGATGGGAGTCTCCCTGAGGCTCAACTCTGGTTAGAGAGGAAGAGTGCTCAGATACTGAGGATGCCTACCTAGAAATAGTCTTCCTAGCAGACATCCTTGGCTGTGCCAGAGCTTCCCAGGCCCTCATACAAACAAGACATTTGTTTCCCTAATCCAGATTGTTGTTTGGAGTGTGTAAACCTGGAGAGATAGGAAGGATGAGTGCCACCTCTCTGCAGGTGGATGGAGGGAGGAAAGGATGCATTGCTGACTTCAAATTGACAACATAAATGGTATTGAAGGGCTCAGGAATGAAGATCCCAGTTTGGGACAAAAAAGTATTTCTGTGTTTTTTGAAAACTATAACCTTTTGCCCAAACTCAAAAATATTTGACTTTGAAAAATACATAAGGGTCATTCCTTCATTCCCTCATTCTTTGTGACCCAAACTCCTAACAAGTTTCCGGTAATCCTCATCATTCAGTAGGACCAGACATTATGCTTTTCTTCTGTGTCTGGGGAGCTATAGTCCAAGGGGAGACCCTAGTGAGGATCAGCAAAAAGATATCTGAACCACAGCTCTGTCTAAAATGCCAGGCAGTGTGTCTGTATTTCCAGGCAGAGGTGTTTGGCTTTCCTCCCAAAGTGTTAGTGCTTTGGACCTCAGAAACCAAAAAGAGACAGTCATTGAGCAGAGACCTCTTGCCTAACTAGTTTCTAATTCACCTGGAGCAATGAGACCACGCACCTTCCACCAGAGCTTTTCTTTCTGTGATGGCTATGTGTGGACAAGAGTATCTTCCTTTCAAACTGGATTTTGTAGCTCTATCTGCCACTCTACCCACGTCATTAGCCCATGCCATGTATTCTGGACAGCAAGTGGCATCCCTGGCAAATGAAGGATGTGCTGATTGATTTGGCTGCAGGAACCCAACACTGCAAGTACTTGTTTGACCACCTCTATCTGATAAACAGCTCACTGTTCATCAAGCTTACTGATGGCAAAGCCATTTGGAATCTGGTACCAAATTTATACAGAAAAGCAAAATCACTTGCTGAAAACCAATTCAAATCACTATTGGAGGGAAAATCTATGTGGGTGCCAATGTAATTTCTGATTTTTGTAGTCAGTTGTACTATAAGACAGGTTGTATCTCTTGCTCTACCATTTGTTACAATCCAGGAGTTATTTCACAGAGAGTTCTCAGGTTTAATTCACCCGTGTTTTAAAACGTGACGAGGTCTCTGCGTCAAAGACACTGAGTGCTCAGAAAGACTTTAAAAGAAAGTCAACCAATTCAGGTTTTGGGATTCCTTGGAGAGAGAACAGAGCAGAAATTGTGACTTTAGCTTCCAGACAATCCATTTAAGCAGATGTGAAAAATAAATGCAGCTTGATCTAAAAAAGGCTGAGGCCAAATCTTTGTTTATTCACCAAATTAGACTCAAATGACTTGCCAAGATAGGGACAGTCTGGCATTTAAATAGAAAACATGGCATTCTGGGAGCAGCTTGGGAAGATCCATCAAAAGTACATTGCTGCAGGGAAAACACAGTACTGTAAACTTGAGCCTTGACCCCTTGTAAAGGCTTTTTGGCTTCACAGAAGTATGGTAGGTCATGTTAACAAGGCATTGTAGGGTTAAGCTCTCTAAGCCATGCCTCGCTCCAACAGAAAACTGGGGGGCGGGAGGGGTGGAACTAGATGATTTTAAGGTCCTTTCCAACCCTAACTGTTCTATGATTCTATGAATAAGGTAGCAGTAAGTTCCATTCTGCCAGGCTGACTGTATGTAGCACTGAAGGATTCCTCCATTCCTTGGAAATGTCCTCATTGATGGGCACATAGTGTGATTCCTTCTCCATTTTCTTTCTCCTTTGGCCCTCAGAAAACTGTATCCTGCTTGTCCTATGCTGACCATTTCAAATGATAGTATCCAGGGCTCTGCCAGAGGTATAGAATCCTTGCTTCAGATTTGGGGAACCTAATATCTTGCTGTTACAGTTTCTGGCTCTGGAACACCATGTGGGTGACAGCATCTCTCTTGAGTACATTTTGAAGTAACTACAGTGCTTTCTGTGAGCCTGAGGAGCCAAGATTTTACTTTTAATGCACAGGTCCTCTTAAGCCAGCTTAAGTGGTCACAAATATCTCCTTGTGCTCTGGAATCATAGTAGAAGGTAGGTGACTTCCAGGCCATGCTAGGATGCTCCTGAACATATTAAAGAGACTCTGTTTGGATGCCTTAGACACTGAAAACTAAAATGAGGCAGAGAATACCTTTGGTTGAAAGAGACTTCTGGAGGTCATGTAGCACAGCCTTCTGTTCAGAGAAGAGCCAACTTCAAACTTAGGTGAGGTTTCTCAGGGCCTTGTCCACTCAATTTTGGAAAATCTCTAAGGGTAGAAACTCCCCCCATCTCTCTGGGCCCAGTTGCAGTGGATGCAGTAGTTAAATTTAGGGCTTCGTAGCAATAGCTGCTCCTGAATGTCTTTTGAGCTGTATTAGATAGTCTGACCATATCCTTGGCCAGGTGTAAGTGCAAGAGTGTGTGCATACACTTGGAGGAACAGCAGTAATGGTGAGAAATGTGTCTTCATTTAAGGTTCTATGATGAAATAGGGACACCTCTTCTCTCTGACATCCGTGTTGATTACCCTGAAGACAATGTGGAGCAAGTCACCCAGAACTTCTTCCCTAACTACTTTAATGGCTCTGAAATCATAATAGCTGGCAAACTCATCAACCGCACCTCAGATAGTCTCCACGTGGAGGTGACTGCTAGCAACTCCAAGAAGTACATCCTCCTCAAGAAAGATGTGGCTATTGACCTGCCAAGCACGAATGATATTAGCGGTATCCCCGGTCTGGAAGATGGCAAAGGTGATACAAACTACATTGAGAGGGCATGGAGTTACCTCACCATCAAGGAACTGCTTAACTCTCGGTTGAAGAGCGATGACAGTCAGGAAAAAGACTATTTGATGGAGAAAGCCAAGTCAATGGCCCTAACTTACAATTTTGTTACTCCCTTCACTGTTCTGAAGATGAGAGAGGCTGGGGTCCATTCAGAACCAGCTCCAGAGGAGTTTATCAGACCTTCTACTGATGGCATTGGTGAAAAGTTGCAGAGCTTGCAGGGACACAAGGCACCACCAGGTATGAGAGGAAATAACCATGCGCTGGTAAGAAATCTTTTCACATAGGCAATA